TCCCGGAGCTTGTCGGGGACCACTACTCGGTTTCCCCAAAGTACACAGCTTTTAGAAATCGACAATTCTTTTTGGCAGGCTCTGTATGGCTTAAACTCAGGCTCTAAGCTCCCAACTGGCCACCCCCTCCATACCCAGTTTAGCACCCGGGACAACACGCTGTCCTTTACAGTCATTACTGCAATGTCCCTTGAGGAGACCGGTGCCATTGGAAGCTCGTCAATAGCCAGTACCTCATACGCGGGGGCAGGGTCAGTCTCGACATCAGGTAAAGGGCAGCGGCTGAGCACATCCATGTGCCCAATTGCCTTCCCAGGCCGGTGTTCAAGATCAAAGTCATATGCTTGTAAAAATATGGCCCATCTAAGCATTCTGGGGGACATGATATTTTGCAGTTGCCTATCGAGTGCCAAAATCCCCAGTAGCGGCTTGTGGTCTGTGACCAAAAGGAATCGCCTGCCAAAAATAAAATTGTGGAACTTTTTGACAGCCGCTACTAATGCCAGACGCTTCCTTGTCTATCTGGGCATAGTTCCTCTCTGCCGCAGATAGAGACCTTGAATAAAAAGCGATAGGCGCCTCGCTCCCATCAGGCATCAGATGGCTCAAAACTGCGCCTACTCCAAAAGGTGAAGCGTCTGCTGCTAACACCAGGAGCTTTTTCTCATCGTAATGAGTCAACACATCATTAGATGTCAAAAGCTCTTTAACCCCCCAAAATGCCCTTTCTTCGGCTTGTCCCCATTTCCATTTGGCTCCCTTATGCAAAAGTGCATGCAATGGAGCTGCCACTGATGCCTTATGCGGTAAAAACGCATGATAAAAATTGAGCAGTCCTAAGAAGGATTGTAGCTCTTTTTTACTCACCGGCCTGGGGGCATTTTGAATGGCGGTTACCTTGTCACCTGTGGGGTGTACTCCCCTTTCGTCTATGCAAAAGCCCAAAAAATCAACACTGTCAACCCCCAGCGTACATTTGGATTGTTTCACTTTTAGACCGGCACCCTGGAAGCATTTCAGAACTTCCCTCACTCGGTCTAATAATTCCTGCTCAGAGCCCCCAGCCACCAGCACATCGTCAAAATATGGTACCGTGCCAGGTACCCCCCTTAACAATCGTTCCATCAGACCTTGGAATATCCCCGGGGCCACATTTACTCCAAATTGGAGTCGGTTCACTTTAAATGCCCCTCTGTGCGTTACAATCGTTTGTGCCTCTGCAGCTTCTGGCGTTACAGTCAGCTGCTGGTACGCTTGTGCCAAATCAAGTTTGGCGAAAACTTTCCCTCCTCCCAGGGAAGCCAAGATGTGGCTGATTACGGGAACCGGATACGAATGCTGCTGTAAAGCTTTGTTCAGTGTACACTTGTAATCAGCGCATATTCGTACAGACCCATCTGGTTTTACTGGGGTTACAATCAGGGTCTCCCACCTACTAAAAGGCACGGGTTCTAAAACCCCTTGCTCAATGAGCTTGTCCAATTCCTCATCGACCCGAGGTTTAATTGAAATTGGTACCTTTCAATACTTTAATTGTATCGGTTTAACAGAAGGGTCCAACTCAAACGCAATAGGGGGGCCGTTGTGCTTCCCCAACCCACCTCCAAACACCTCAGGGAACTCCCCATACAACATATTCAATTTATTTTCAATTATTTTGTTCACTCCAAAAATGCCAATGCCTAATGGCTCGAACCAGTCCAGCCCCAGTAGGTTTACCCGGTTCCCTTCTGCAACCAACAAAGATAATTCTGCACATTTCCCTTTAAATTCTACCTTTACAGTATCCCTCCCCACCAAAGGAATTCGATTTCCTTGAAAATCGGACACTCGCATGTCCGCAGGCTGGAGTCGCCGCCGACTGCGGGTAGGGAACAGCTGCTGCCAGGATGACTCGGAGATCACGGTGACCGATGATCCTGAGTCGACCTCCATTGTGCACAGCTTTCCCTCGAGAAGTGGAGTGACGGAGATTTTGCGCTGGCTGCTGGTGCTCAAGACTAAAACCCAGGGCTTTTCTTTTAGCCGGAACTCCTTTGCATGTTAGGCCACACACCCCTAATGTAGCCAATCCTAATGAGTTTCTGCTGTTGGGTATGGCCTATTATGCTAATGAGTTCCTGCTGGGCGTGGCCACGCCCGCATGCCCGACACTCAATGTCCCGGGCCCAGCACTGGTTGCGGTGATGTTTCCCGCCACAACCGGAACATGTCTTGATTGCTGCAGGCTTTGTTGGGGTCCGCTTCTCCGCTCCCGCCTTTATTTCGTTGACGTCATCCTCCGCATCATCGCCCTCGCTGTCATGATGTTGGCAATGGACGCGTTGCTTGGGTAACGTCAGTCGCTGCCGAACCTCCCTTGTTGATTTGTCGGCTGCTTCTGCTGCGACAGCCTCCTCATAAGCTACTGCCCAGGTGAGGGTAGTACGTGCGAATAATTTTTGCTGTAGCCGCTCATCTCGAAGGATGCACACAAGACGGTCTCTGAGGGCCTCCTCCACGTTAGCAAAATTACACAGCCGCGCTGCCTTGCGCAAGGCCACCACAAATTCAGCGATGGTCTCACCGGCTGCCTGGCTTTGTTTGTAGAAGGCGTGCCTGCAGGCAATCTCGGATGGCTGAGGCGAAAAATGGTTCTTCAGTTTCTTCGTCAGATCTGCAAACGACACTGCCTTTATGTCGGCCGGAGCTACCAACGACCTGGCACTGTCGAAGGTTCCCTTCCCACAGGAACTCAGCAGGGTCGCCCTCTTTTTCGCTTCTTCGGTTATGTCGTTGGCTTCGAGATGAAATTCGAACTGGGCAAGGTATGCGTCCCAGTCCTCCGATGTGGGTTCAAATGCCTCAAACTTCTGGTTATTGGCCATCCTCGCAGGCTCGTTCACCGGTGCTGGTGGTGCCTCGGCTGGAGTGGCCACAGTGCTCTGCTCGCTTTCTTCCGTTGTTTGGGTTGTTAAGCGGGGCTGCCTACCCGCTCTAATATCCCATCCTCGTCGCCAATTGTTAGATCGCCGCTAACAAAGATCCGGAGAGTGATTTCAGCAAAGTGATTCAGCTTTATTGAAGTAGCGAACAAACACTCAAACGCATTCATAACCAGAACAAGAAACAATTGGGAGCTAGGCTCCTTTTAAACATTCCCGGGCTAACATAGCCACACCTATTTACACTAATCAACCAATGAGGTTGTTTGAATAAAGACCAATGAGCTTACTTCCCTCGCAGAGAACAGTGGCAGTTCTGATTGGTTGTTGTTGCAGAGCGACCAATAGGAGTTCAGTTCAGCGGAGCCTTTGTTCGGCTCAAGCTTAACATAGGATGTCAATGGAGTGATTCATGTAACACGTTCAATACATTACAGGGGCTGCTTCGTGGAAGCGGTTTTAGGATAGCATCGGAAACGTCCGCCTCTCTAACTTCCTCGCTGCTTCCCAAAGCGGAATGTCACACGCAGTGTCCCCCCTGAGCTGAGTTAGTGTGAGGGAGCTTACAGGGGTTTTTAGCCTCTGGCTGACACGTTTCTGTCCTCGCTCAGAAAGGAGGGCTCCAGAGTAAACCGATTGAGTGCCGCAGGCCAATCGCTGGCTCACAACTTCAATGCCAGCAGCTTACAAAGGAGGGTGGGAGACAGGGAGGCCTGGCCTGATCTGGTCCCTGGGGTCCCGAAGAGCCGGACTGGACTGTGCGATTGAACAGCAACAACAGCTTACAAAGTGGAATTTTTGCTCACAAGACAGACCCCACAGCTTAGAGGGAGCATTGGATGCCAGGGAGCCTATTCCCTCTCACTTCCTGGGCACTGCTGCAATTCCGCCTCATTGGATTGGGTTGCCATCTCCGGTTTGGGGAATTCCTGGAGATTTGACCACCTTCTCTGCCCTCAGAGGCTTTGGAGGTGGGGGGCGCTGAAGAAGGGCACCCCATTACCTCACTCTACTTGTGAACAGTTTTAGGGCTTTTTCTCTTTTTTTGGAGGCAGTATTCATGGGGTACTTTTGGTGGGCATTCTGCCAAGTCCTGAGAGGAGAACTGGTGGAAAGCAGTGTTATCTATATTTGAATACAAGCCAGAGGTAGATTCGGGGGGGATCGCGGTTCCCCTGGGTGATGGACGGGGGGCGGGGCACACGACGAAGTCTCACCCCCCGCTTCCGGCCACCCCGCTTCCGGCCCTCATTCAGCCAGGAGGAGGCAGGAGAAGAGGGAGGGTAAGTTGCTTCCTCCCCGCCTCTCCCCACCGCCTTGCTCGGCCCCTCTAGGAACAGCTCTCTGTCCCCTTCACCCTCTCAGTGCCGCAGAGGCAGGGAAGGGAAGGAGGCCTCCGCCTTTCCCACGAGGAGGACCCGGCGGACGGGAGGCAGCGGCGCCCTCTTCTGCGCTCAGTGGGGGCTGTTAGATCGCCACTAACAAAGATCCGGAGAGTGATTTCAGCAAAGTGATTCAGCTTTATTGAAGTAGCGAACAAACACTCAAACGCATTCATAACCAGAACAAGAAACAATTGGGAGCTAGGCTCCTTTTAAACATTCCCGGGCTAACATAGCCACACCTATTTACACTAATCAACCAATGAGGTTGTTTGAATAAAGACCAATGAGCTTACTTCCCTCGCAGAGAACAGTGGCAGTTCTGATTGGTTGTTGTTGCAGAGCGACCAATAGGAGTTCAGTTCAGCGGAGCCTTTGTTCGGCTCAAGCTTAACATAGGATGTCAATGGAGTGATTCATGTAACACGTTCAATACATTACAATTCCTCCCCCCTAAGTGAAGACACCCATAGTTCAATTACAACATATTTACATTTCAGTCATTGCTATCTACATCATTGCAGTTATAGTCACTTAAGTACGTAGGTGCTCGCCATACGTGCTGAGACCTGCAGGGGGTTGCAGGCTCAGCAGGCAAACTAGTTTGTGAAGTCATCTGGTAGTTTACCTCGGATACTCGGGATCGCTGCTTTCTTGTGAATCGTGGAGATGGTGGTTTGTGTGTTCGAGCATCCCGGTGACCACGGCATCGTCAAGTGGAGCTGAGGGGGGTGCAATGCTGAAGAAACCTTCTTTTCCGTGGCCCTCTACACCATCGCGGGTGCCGAAAATACCTAAGCCCGCATGGGATGATTGGACTCAGTTCAATGAACGAGGCACCAGAGAGACTTTCTCGCACCGCGGTGGCGGGTTGCGAGATAACTTGTTTGAGCAGGGGATGTACCTGGGGAGAAGCTTGGGTCTCCTGGGCGATCAGTACGCGATCGCGGACGAGCCTTGGGTGACGGAACGGCCCAAGGAGCAACATAGACATCCCGGTCCCGATGAAGACCGTGGAGGCTTGGAGGAGAGAGTAGATGACATCGACAAAACGCTACAACAACTAATGCAGATGGTCGGGGAGGTGTTCGATGCACTCCCGGAAATGATGGAGCAATCGATTGACACTGCCATGGCCCGACAAGCAGCGCAACAGCCGCCGGTCCCGGCGCAACCAGTGGTACCAGCGGGTCCAGCTGTGCCAGGGCCCGGGGGACCCGGGGCTCCACCGCCACTTCAACCGGCTCAAGGGAGACCGCGGCCGAAAGACCTCCTGGAAGCAACGTTTGATGGCAACCCAGAAGAGCTGGCGTTTTTTACTGTAAGGGTGCAGAAGTTCGTGACTCAACACGGGCATCTGTTCCCGACTGGCAGTAATAAAATAGACGTGATTGCTTCTCGACTGAAGGGAGCGGCAGCAACGTAGTACGTGGTGTTGCACAACAGCCGTGGTCCGGAGCTGCAGAACTTAAGGGCATTCATGTGGGCATTAAGAACTCGTTTCGAGGATGTGAATGTGGGGCAAAGAGCCAAGGCTTTTCTGCGCACGTTTAAACAGGGGCGCCAATCGGTGAGAGAATATTCCGCTGAGTTCCAGAACCAGGCGGCCAAGTTACTAAACTGGCCGGATCACATACTCGTTGAAATGTATCGGGTTGGTCTGAACCTGGAGATCAGAGAGACAGTGCTCAGATCGGTCGACCCGGTATCTCTAATAGCCTGGACCCAAGAAGCTGAAAATGCAGAAAGCCGTTTGCAAACACTACGATTAGACATGGCAGCAGGAGGAGGGAGATCAACCCAGTCGCAACCTCCGAAACCGAAAACCTCCAAGCTGTCAGATGCAGCGAGGGATCTCCGAATGAAATTGGGACTCTGCCTAAAATGTGGCGAAAGAGGCCATTTCGCAGCAGATTGTGGTCAACGCCAAGCCAAAGAGAAAGACACAGGAGTTAAGCAGAAAATGACGACCCCGACCAAAAAGGGAACAGCCAAACCAAAGTTCACAAAAGCACTCCAAGCAGCACCGGAGAATGTGCAAGAAGACTCAACGGAATCGGAGGCAGAGGAGGCGGGAAACGAACAAGTCCTGTTGTAAAGGGCGCACAACAGCAGGGCTTATCGATGGAGGCGCCTATAGTGGTGAGAGAACCCCCCTCGCTTTTCTTTGTGACTGTGTCTTTAATGAACCCAGTTTTGGGGACTCATGTGCGAGTGAAAGCACTTATTGACTCGGGGTGTGGGAGAGACTTAATTAGCCCCAATGTAGTAACCGGTTTAGAAGCCGGTATCAAAAAGCTGAAATCTCCCATCATTTTTACCCAAATGGATGGGGCACCCATGAAACCCTGCTTGCACGAGACTATGCCTTTGAGATTGGGGGCTGGAGAACATTGGGAACAACGATCATTCATTGTTACCCCAGACTCACAATTTTCCCTAGTTCTAGGTGCCCCTTGGCTGTATAGTCACGACCCCTATATACTGTGGGAAGAGGGCAAGATAGAATTTGTGTCAACAAAATGTATGGAACATAAATGGGAGGAGGGTTGGGGCACCCCTCCAGCAGTAAACATTCCGTGTGGTGCACTGACTCCCACTGAACTTGAAACATTACCACCGGAATATCACGACTTGGCCCAGGCGTTTGGGGAGGGGGAAGCGGACGAGCTACCACCCCATAGAAAAACGGATTTTCGGGCCGAACTGGTCCCGGGGGCAAAATTGCCAAAGGGGGATGAGGGTAAAACTGCTTTTAATACTCCACTGGGTCAGTTCGAGTACCTAGTGATGCCCTTCGGGCTTCAAGGGGCCCCTGGGGTCTTCATGAACCTGATTAATGAAGTCCTACATGAACACCTGTTCAAAGGAGTTATTATTTACTTGGACGACATTTTGGTCTATTCGCAAGACCTCCCCTCACACGTGAAACTGGTCCGAAAGGTTCTCGAATCGTTGCACAAGCACAAACTCTATGCAAAACTATCGAAATGTGAATTTCACAAACCGCACATTGATTTTTTGGGTTACCGGATTTCGGGGGAGGGGTTGGAAATGGACCCCGGGAAAGTGCGGGATGTGCTGGAGTGGGAACCCCCCAGAACCCGAAGGCAACTCCAGGGGTTCCTCGGATTCGCCAATTTTTACAGGGGCTTTGTCAAGGGGTTCGCTCAAATTGTATTACCACTTACTGACTTGTTGAAAACTAAAGGTAAAGGTTTTGATGCCACTAAACCGGGAGCCCCGCTGAAATGGTCAGCAGAGTGTGATGAGGCTTTTAAACGCTTGAAACAAATGTTTACCTCTGAACCCATTCTAGCTCACCCAGATGAGAACAAAAAGTTCATTGTGCAGACTGTTGCTTCGGATGTGGCGATGGGTGCTGCAATTTTACAGAGGGGGGAGGATGGGCTCTTACACCCCTTGGCTTATGTTTCTAAAAAGTTTTCGGAGGCAGAACGGCACTGGTCTGTATGGGAGAAGGAAACGTCAGCGATCCGGCTAGCGCTTTGCTCCTGGCGCCATTGGGTGGAAGGAGCACGTGTGCCGTTTGAGGTTTGG